AGAGAAGGAGATTCCACAACCTCCCTGGGCAGCCTGTTCCAGTGCTCCGTCACCCTCAGAGGGAAGAAGTTCTTCCTCATGTTCAGAGGGAACTTCCTGTGCTTCAGTTTGTGCCCATTGCCCCTTGTCCTGTCACTGGGCATTGCTGAAAAGAGCTTGGCCCCATCCTCCTGACACCCACCCTTCAGATATTTGTAGGCATTTATAAGGTCCCCTCCCAGCCTTCTCGTCTTCAGGCTGAACAAGCCCAGCTCCCTCAACCTCTCCTCGTAGTGGAGATGCTCCAGTCCCCTCACCATCCTTGTAGCCCTCCGCTGGACTCTCTCCAGTAGCTCTTCATCCTTCTTGAACTGGGGAACCCAGAACTACCCCCACGTCTCCTTCCTTAACGGCTTTTTGGTTGCGCAGGGCAGGGGTGAAGGCGGGACCCCGAGATGCGGTGGTTGACCCTCGAGGTTGACAAGGTGGTGGCCTTGGTGGGCTCGCGACAGCTGGCTGCCCACCCCGAAAAATTATTTATTTCTCCCCAGGGAGGCTGTGGGGGGCCTCCTTCTCTGGAGATATTCCAGACCTGCCTGGCCGCGGTGCTGTGCAGCCTGCTCTGGGTGACCCTGCTTGGGCAGGGGGTTGGGCTGGGTGACCCCCAGAGGGCCCTTCCAACCCTTGCCATGCTGTGATTTGGTTGGGTGCAGTAGACAAAGCCGGTGTTAGCAGTGAGGGTCTACAGAGGAGGGTGCAAATTCAGTGACGTTCAAATAACGAAGCACCGCATCTCCGTCAGACCCGGCTGTGGGCAGCGGGACCCGCGGGGATGCTGTGGGGCGGCCATCGCGGGAAGTCGGGATTCCCACCGTGCCATCACTGCTGATGTGCTGGGATCGCTGGTCTCGCCTTGCCCCCCGTTCTTCGCCGGGTGCTGGCGTTGCTGTGGGCACCGGCCCCGGGCAGACGGGGAGAGCGGGAGCACCGACCCGTCGGTTTCTGGAAATCCCACTGTCTTCAGCTTGTCGTAGCGTGAGCTCTGCAGTCAGAATACCTCCATGTGGTGCTAATACGAGGAGAGGATGTTTGTTTTCTTGACCATTTCCATACTGCCAGAATCGGCAGCTTTCTGGCCCGGGGGGGCTGGAAACGTGGGCTCTGAGCTGCGGGGCAGAGCCCTGTCTGCGCTAATTGACAGCTGATGAAGTGTCTGGGTGGGGGAATGACTGCAGCAGAAATTAAATTGGCAGCACGTAGCCCGAGCTGGAATAGGATGCAAGTCCTCCCGAACCTGGACGCTTAGATAAAATCAGCTACGCAGGGTGAGAGGCTGGGTTTCCTCCGGAGAGGGAGAAGCCCTTCCCGCAGGCGCCGTCAGCCCCGTCCCCGTGGGAATGGCAGCCCAGTGCCGCCCAGCTGGCCCAGCAGCACCCGTGTCCTTCTCGGGGAGGGACAGGGACAGCGGGTCGGGGTGCTGGACCCCCTTGCCTTGGTCCTCTCGTGCTGTGCTGTGGGAGCTGGGGCTTTCCAAGCCCGACGGTCCGGCTGAGGGGTGAGCTGGGAGCAGGGGAGGAGAGCTGGCCTTTCCGTTGCGCAGGGGGTTCCACAGAAAGGGTGGGAAGGCTGTTTCTGCTCGGCACTTGAAGTTTTGTTTCTATAATGTGTTATTTTGCGCTTGGCACCGAATTCTTAGTCTGCAGAGATTCGTGTTAGTGTGCTCTGGCTAAAATCAGGTGCAAGGCGTGCAGCTTGCCAGGTGAACATACCACCCAGGATGGGGTGAAGAGGAGGAACGTGGGCAAACCTGCTTCTACCCCAGCTGTTCGACAGCCTGAGGCAGGCAGTGCCAGAAACCCAGTGCTACCCGTAAGCCAGGCCACCGGACAACGCAAAAATACCTGGCTTTGCTTCGTTACGAGCACTGTGGTCGGCTGGGCTGGGGTCTGCGCGGCTGCAGGACCCGCGTTGTGCTGGCTGAAGAGGCAGTGCGGGTGGTGGGGCGTGGGTGACCCCGTTTTCTGGTGCCTGGCCGAAGAGCTGATGCCTCCCGTCACGCGTGGGCTCTGCAGCATCCTTCCCGTCATACCTGCCCTGACCTCAGAAACAGCCACCTCCTAGTAGTATCAGTCTATTATAC